ACAATTTCTTTAATATTTTTCTTTTATTATTTTGATTAAAAAACATTAATAAACTAAAACGTTAGTTAACTTACCTACTTTGTTTCCTCTAAAAAATTGATCTGTACCGAATAATAAAAAGCAGATTATTTTGAAAACGATAAACTTTACCGCATTTTGATAGAGTACCCTTTTTGCTTAAAAAAGTGCAAAGAATAAGAATTTTTATGCAAAAAGTATACTGTCAGAAAAGTTATTATTTTAATCCGTAAAGAATAGGTTACAGAGTCTTCTACTGGTTATAGTAGAACGGACTCTATAATCGTCTTTCTCATGCCAAAAAAACCTCCATATACCAAATTTGAATAAAATCGATTGAAATACACGTGTAATATTAAATAAAAATCAATTTAAAAATTTAATTTGAACACCCCCTGTATCTCCAAAACAAAGCGTTTGTCGATCTATGTTTATATGAAGTTTTTGTGTTAATTTTAAACTGATGACTGTTAAAGTCTTACTTCAAAAACCTGAAACATCCTGTATACTTGATTTTAGTAAGGACTCTAGACTTTGCAATATGAGTAATACTAAATATAACTTTATTAAGTAAGCTCATTTTACATCATAATAATAGCAAAAAATTTGTAATAAAAATAATACCAAATATTACGTAAAACATTTATTGTATGAAATTGTTGTTTTGCCATTTATGCATGTTTTTTCCGTGGTAATAATAATAAAAAAATCTTGACTTGTGCTGACAGTAATAGAGAATTCGTGAGTATTTTGTACACTATTTTATTTGTAATATTTATATTTTTGAGTTAAATTCACCAAGGTAAGTCATTAAAATAAATAATATTAAAATTATCTTTTATACAAAAAAAAATTAAAATAAAACAATTTATATTAATCCTGATTTTTTAAAACCCTTTTAGCTATTTTCAAATAAGTTTTCCCATCCTCCCCAATTTCTTCATTATCAACATTTCCTACTTCGATACCATCATTATTTTCCATATCATTATTATCATCCTTAATTTCCCCATCCTTTCGATCATCGGCTTCGCGATGTGTTTTCAAACGGGACAAAACTAAAAGTTGTTGCCCATTATTTTGGTTCATCTCCATTTGTTCATGGAGACAATTTTGAAGGATGTTTAAAAAGAAAAGAAATGCTAAAAGTGTTAAAGCCGTTAAAGCAACACTTTTTTTACCACCTTCTTTGTGAGATGAACCGCTTCCACTGGAATAACTAAAATGATCTTAAATTGGGGGTTATTTTGTGGGGTTTTATTACTTACTAGTGTTGATAATACGAATTTCCTGATGGGTTTGTGTATTGGGAGCGTTCTAAAATCGGTGTGAATGGTTTCGTGATTTGTGATGGTGTTGCTAAAGAGTTCACCATGATTTTTTGTTACTTTTGCAACGATCTAAACTGAAATGACTATTCTTTTTCTTGAAACAGTTATAACGTCGATTTTCTGGTTCCGTGGCGAATCTAACCACTTTTTAAGATTTTATTTTTAATTTAGAGAAATCCCGTTATGTTATCATTTCTTATATTTGAATGATATAAAAAAATTCTTTACTAGATGGCGTTAAAGTACATATTTGTACCTCCATCTGTTGGAATTTGTTTGAACTCTTGTATCGAGCGAATTTTGGTTGAGTTCCAAAAAGCAGACGTCGCGACGCGTTGTCGAAAGATTCCGTAGGTAACCGGAATAAATACGTTATGGTGCTATCCTTTTTGCTCCTATGCTTGTAAAAAAGGATGTTGAGGGGGTTGAATGTCCACCGCCAGGTGCCACCACCCACCCGGTGTTTCTACAGGCGCCAGAGAACCACGAGACCGATGGAATCGCGAGAATACCGTGTGTGTTGGTTCAGTACTTCAGTAACGCGACGGCGTCGGCCGCGTTTAGACGACGCTCCTTCGCGACCTTTGTTAACTCGACGATTCGAGCACGTTTTTTAAATAAATTAAGTTCTTTCAATTAATTTCTTAATTATTTTTGTGCTGGATTGTATTAAATATATTTAATATATTGAAAGTGCGATTATTCATATTGCTTTTTTTAATTTGAATATAAAAGGTTTGCGACTTTGGGGTGAAAAAGGGGGTGAGATGAGGCGGAACATCAAGATTCTACTACTGTGTTCTGTCACGTGGATGTTCGTTATTATCTATTATCTACAAACGAATGGGGATGATTCAAAGGTCAGAATAAAAAATTTTTTTTCGTATTTTAAAATTATGTTCCAATTTTTTTTTTGAAAAAAATCTCAATATATACGCAGAGTAGATGGAGAGATATTTGTTGAAGGACGGAATTTGCAAGTAAAATAATGTTACGAGGGGATCGTGGATGTATTTTATGGGGACCATTTCTTTCTTATTTTTGTTATTTTATTTAAAAGGTCGCTCAATATTATTGCGTCTCTTTTCAAAGTGTGTGCGTAATAAACCGGTTAACGATAGTTTTGGAGGTGTTCTAAAACTCCATTTAGTTCAACTCTGGTTCCTTTGTAATTTATATTACAGATTTTGTTCTAACGAGAAAACTTGTGTTGTAGAAACAATGAAGATTAATGAACCGGGATTATATTTTTCGGTCTATTACAAGAGATTTTACTTGCTCAACTTTGTTCCTTATTTAAACACTTTTCTTATTAACCATCTTAAAAATATTCATTTCAAAAGTTTAGGAACAATCTTATAACATACTTTCCGTAAAGTTTAATTAAAACAATTTTGTTTACGAAAATAAATTAAAAGTTAATATAATACAGCGTAAGAAGCAAGAGATATACACTTTTATATACGTTTATCATTTCCTGTAAAATGTCGATTGCACGTATTTCAGCTACAATAAACCCGTTCAGGATGTAAAGGTTAGATCTTTGGATTTTCTGTTAACGCAACTCAATTTCTAAACCGTTCCAGTTGCTTCTGAGAATTTGAGATCCGATGGCAAAGATTATCTCTCTCTTGCAACAAAACTCAACTGAAAAAAACAACAACAAAACAAATTACGCATGTTTGTGTATAATAACTTGATTGCACAGTTTTGTTAATTTTTTTTTTTGATATCGTAAATTTTGTCGTCCTTAATTAAAACATCCTGTTATAAGTGTCTTTGTGCAAACTTTATAAAAACCACTCCCGTTAGAAGATAAATAATGATCATATTTCTTTATTGATCTATGTATTATAGAACACTTTATTTTAAATGTACTGTCATGGCTCTATTTACGTACTTAATGGCCAACACCTATATGTAATGTGAAAGTACACAGTTAAACGAAGAATGTTTTGAATAGTTACCACAAATATGTGTGGGTGGGTGCTAACTTAAAACAAAAATTAGGGTGTATACACAAAATAATCATTTATTATTGAAATGTAAAAAAAATATGTGCAGTATTAAACGCAATAATTAAAAATATTTCATAATAATATACATCTTAACACTCTTATTATTTACACAATTATTACTACTTACTTATTATAATTAATGTACTATATTGAACTAACATAAGATCTAACCCTAGCACTATAACCTTCCTCACAAACAACTTCAAAGTATTCACGATAGAGAACAATTTGGTGCTGAATAACAACTCAAATTAGAACACTACACGTAGAAGTAGGTTCCATGGTAAATTTGATCATGGGGTGTTATAAGTTCAGGTGATCTAGGAACTTCTGAATTGGAATGTGTCCAAAAAACCTCAGGATATTCGCAAGACAAATGGAAGATAGTCTATGCATTTTTCAAACTCATAAATTCTTTTTCTGACCGCTGCGCTGCTTTAATTGTTCACGNATTAAGTAAGCTCATTTTACATCATAATAATAGCAAAAAATTTGTAATAAAAATAATACCAAATATTACGTAAAACATTTATTGTATGAAATTGTTGTTTTGCCATTTATGCATGTTTTTTCCGTGGTAATAATAATAAAAAAATCTTGACTTGTGCTGACAGTAATAGAGAATTCGTGAGTATTTTGTACACTATTTTATTTGTAATATTTATATTTTTGAGTTAAATTCACCAAGGTAAGTCATTAAAATAAATAATATTAAAATTATCTTTTATACAAAAAAAAATTAAAATAAAACAATTTATATTAATCCTGATTTTTTAAAACCCTTTTAGCTATTTTCAAATAAGTTTTCCCATCCTCCCCAATTTCTTCATTATCAACATTTCCTACTTCGATACCATCATTATTTTCCATATCATTATTATCATCCTTAATTTCCCCATCCTTTCGATCATCGGCTTCGCGATGTGTTTTCAAACGGGACAAAACTAAAAGTTGTTGCCCATTATTTTGGTTCATCTCCATTTGTTCATGGAGACAATTTTGAAGGATGTTTAAAAAGAAAAGAAATGCTAAAAGTGTTAAAGCCGTTAAAGCAACACTTTTTTTACCACCTTCTTTGTGAGATGAACCGCTTCCACTGGAATAACTAAAATGATCTTAAATTGGGGGTTATTTTGTGGGGTTTTATTACTTACTAGTGTTGATAATACGAATTTCCTGATGGGTTTGTGTATTGGGAGCGTTCTAAAATCGGTGTGAATGGTTTCGTGATTTGTGATGGTGTTGCTAAAGAGTTCACCATGATTTTTTGTTACTTTTGCAACGATCTAAACTGAAATGACTATTCTTTTTCTTGAAACAGTTATAACGTCGATTTTCTGGTTCCGTGGCGAATCTAACCACTTTTTAAGATTTTATTTTTAATTTAGAGAAATCCCGTTATGTTATCATTTCTTATATTTGAATGATATAAAAAAATTCTTTACTAGATGGCGTTAAAGTACATATTTGTACCTCCATCTGTTGGAATTTGTTTGAACTCTTGTATCGAGCGAATTTTGGTTGAGTTCCAAAAAGCAGACGTCGCGACGCGTTGTCGAAAGATTCCGTAGGTAACCGGAATAAATACGTTATGGTGCTATCCTTTTTGCTCCTATGCTTGTAAAAAAGGATGTTGAGGGGGTTGAATGTCCACCGCCAGGTGCCACCACCCACCCGGTGTTTCTACAGGCGCCAGAGAACCACGAGACCGATGGAATCGCGAGAATACCGTGTGTGTTGGTTCAGTACTTCAGTAACGCGACGGCGTCGGCCGCGTTTAGACGACGCTCCTTCGCGACCTTTGTTAACTCGACGATTCGAGCACGTTTTTTAAATAAATTAAGTTCTTTCAATTAATTTCTTAATTATTTTTGTGCTGGATTGTATTAAATATATTTAATATATTGAAAGTGCGATTATTCATATTGCTTTTTTTAATTTGAATATAAAAGGTTTGCGACTTTGGGGTGAAAAAGGGGGTGAGATGAGGCGGAACATCAAGATTCTACTACTGTGTTCTGTCACGTGGATGTTCGTTATTATCTATTATCTACAAACGAATGGGGATGATTCAAAGGTCAGAATAAAAAATTTTTTTTCGTATTTTAAAATTATGTTCCAATTTTTTTTTTGAAAAAAATCTCAATATATACGCAGAGTAGATGGAGAGATATTTGTTGAAGGACGGAATTTGCAAGTAAAATAATGTTACGAGGGGATCGTGGATGTATTTTATGGGGACCATTTCTTTCTTATTTTTGTTATTTTATTTAAAAGGTCGCTCAATATTATTGCGTCTCTTTTCAAAGTGTGTGCGTAATAAACCGGTTAACGATAGTTTTGGAGGTGTTCTAAAACTCCATTTAGTTCAACTCTGGTTCCTTTGTAATTTATATTACAGATTTTGTTCTAACGAGAAAACTTGTGTTGTAGAAACAATGAAGATTAATGAACCGGGATTATATTTTTCGGTCTATTACAAGAGATTTTACTTGCTCAACTTTGTTCCTTATTTAAACACTTTTCTTATTAACCATCTTAAAAATATTCATTTCAAAAGTTTAGGAACAATCTTATAACATACTTTCCGTAAAGTTTAATTAAAACAATTTTGTTTACGAAAATAAATTAAAAGTTAATATAATACAGCGTAAGAAGCAAGAGATATACACTTTTATATACGTTTATCATTTCCTGTAAAATGTCGATTGCACGTATTTCAGCTACAATAAACCCGTTCAGGATGTAAAGGTTAGATCTTTGGATTTTCTGTTAACGCAACTCAATTTCTAAACCGTTCCAGTTGCTTCTGAGAATTTGAGATCCGATGGCAAAGATTATCTCTCTCTTGCAACAAAACTCAACTGAAAAAAACAACAACAAAACAAATTACGCATGTTTGTGTATAATAACTTGATTGCACAGTTTTGTTAATTTTTTTTTTTGATATCGTAAATTTTGTCGTCCTTAATTAAAACATCCTGTTATAAGTGTCTTTGTGCAAACTTTATAAAAACCACTCCCGTTAGAAGATAAATAATGATCATATTTCTTTATTGATCTATGTATTATAGAACACTTTATTTTAAATGTACTGTCATGGCTCTATTTACGTACTTAATGGCCAACACCTATATGTAATGTGAAAGTACACAGTTAAACGAAGAATGTTTTGAATAGTTACCACAAATATGTGTGGGTGGGTGCTAACTTAAAACAAAAATTAGGGTGTATACACAAAATAATCATTTATTATTGAAATGTAAAAAAAATATGTGCAGTATTAAACGCAATAATTAAAAATATTTCATAATAATATACATCTTAACACTCTTATTATTTACACAATTATTACTACTTAATTATTATAATTAATGTACTATATTGAACTAACATAAGATCTAACACTACAACCTTCCTCACAAACAACTTCAAAGTATTCACAATAGAGAACAATTTGGTGCTGAATAACAACTAAAATTAGAACACTACACGTAGAAGTAGGTTCCACGGTAAATTTGATCATGGGGTGTTATAAGTTCAGGTGATCTAGGAACTTCTGAATTGGAATGTGTCCAAAAAACCTCAGGATATTCGCAAGACAAATGGAAGATAGCCTATACATATTTCAAACGCATAAATTCTTTTTCTGACCGCTGCGCTGCTTTAATTGTCCACGTTTTCAGCCCCTTATCGGAAAATGGAGAAGATCAATGATTGAACTAGCTCCATTTTAGTACTTTTTGTAGTAGTCTCCTCAATGAACTTTTAACCAGTCGTATTCTTATTCGGATATAGCTCTCACTTGAACCTATGTTATCACTATATGGGCCTATAGGTATATGATCTGGTCTACGACTTGAAGTTTATGTAGAGTATCCGTCACTGAACTTTCAGAACGTCAAGGCTACATTTATTACTCTCAATCTCAACTCTGTTTAGAAGATCAATCAACCCTCTTCTGATGCAGCAATCAAAGATATAACGTCTGCATATCTTAGGTTTGTAATCTTCTTCTACTGTCACATTAAAATTTACCAGGATATCCTGGCGATCTAACTTCATCTAACTTTTGATTGATATCACAAAATTCGTAGAATCTCTGACATATGATTTTGTTTTACTTGCAAAAGGAGACGAAATCTTGGAGCAAATTATGGCAGTGACAATATCTGGTTTATACATTTTAGGTAATCCATAACTTCTTGGTGGTATTGGTTCCTGTACAAACAAATTTGTTGTCCTGTTGTTCTGCTGGAATATCTGTAGATTTCATCTTCCTGATTTTCTTATCGTTACATTCATTCTTATCCATGGCCATGTTGTTACTCCCGTTATCTGCTAGTAGAACGTTGATATCTGTTTTTTTTTCTGATCGTCCACGAATGTATTATAATTGTAATTTATTCACCTGTATATAATAAAAAATGTTTGGTGATACAAGTCAAATCAAGTCTAATCCAACATCTGCGCTCTTGATAGTAATATGGGTTCTATTTCAAAATGTGTAGTTCGAGCGGTGAACCTAGCGAAAGCTGAACCTAACAAAGCTGGCGTCAGTGATTTTCTGGACGTTGATGATACAAATTTTAGGTGGAATTAGCTTCCTTGAATTGCAGTTCCTTTCTTCTTTTTATAGGCTTTTTTATAACAATCATAAGCATTCGATAGATTTGCATTAACTTTTCAACTTATTGTCATGATTTTCAAAAAGGACTTTGTCAAGGTACATTGTTTAATATCATTAACATCATTGGGTACTTTTGTGTTTGAAGATTTAAGAGATCTTCGCTGGTGTCCAGATCTAAATTTTTTATCAATTCTACAATATTACCCGTTATTATGGTTATAGGGTCACAGACGTTAACTCTTTTTCAAAGCTTTTGTTCTTTTCTTAGTCGCTTTGCAAGCATCTCGTACTATTTTAATGTAATAAAACGTGGAAACTCTTCCAAACAATTTGTAAGATCTGGCGATCTCCGCGTTCTTTATTATCTTATATGCATTGACTAAAAATATGTTTTAATTAATTTAATATTGGATATACACTGAGCCATAGGTTGAAGTACAGAGGTGATAAAAATTATTCAAAAAAAGTCAGGGTGCTGTTCATTTAATATTATTAGAGGGTAACCAGGGGCATTATCTATTAAGAATGAAATTTGAAACAGAATCTTATTGTTTTTGTAATATGCAGTAAATTTTTTTCTTGGTCTTCAACGCATTTTGCTGCAGTTTTAGTGTCTGTAGCAGCTAACCTCACCTTCAATTTTTCAATCCATAGCTAGCAACAAACGTTCAATCTTACGTTGATTCTCCGGCTTTAAATCATTTCAAACCTTTATTTTTATGGCTCACTGATTTAGTTAGTGGAATATGCTGACTTGTTTTATTTTGTATCCAAATGATGAATAGTCCTCTTTCCATAACTGAAATAATTTCATGTTTTTCAAATTACCGTTGTTTCTTAAAATGTTACCAAATATGTTACCACTTATATGCGCTATAAATAATTTTTTATTTTCCCTAAACATCGTTGTTATGATTTTTTGAACCCAACTTGGCATGTTTGATTATTCTAACCCTTCTAAAAATCGATCTCAAAAAGTAATTGAGATAACATCATGAAATAGTTGTACAGTGGTGAAGTAGTTGATGTCACAAGTTCGCCTATCTTATTTCACCGATTTACTGCCCGGCCAAGATGGATTTTCCAACCTGTATTTGTGATCACCAGTAGTCGCTTGATCGATATCGCCGGAATTAGAATGCATAGTGTAACACGTTCTAAACCTTTTTATCACGTAAAGCAATAATGAGCACTGATTTGCTTTACGTGCTTTACATATTACATGCTTATTACAACAATCAATGATGGGCATTTGGAGCTTGTTTTACGTAAACTGTCAATCAGAGATAGCTTATTTTACAGAAAGTTGTCTACAGGAAATCTGTTAGCATCCATTTAACCAAGATGATGTTTCTACTAGATTTAGTTACAGCGTTACTTTGTCTATATGCTTACTCATTGCGATGAAATGGTCGAAATTCTATAATATAAATACGTTATTAAAGTTTTCCTTAGATTGTAATCTTCGCACATTTATTCCACATCCTTTTCTTATCTTTACTTTCCATGAAGTCATATTGAACAGTTATTACAGGCTGCTGGATATCATCTGATAATGAGCCCATCATAATTGTTATCCTTTTCATGATACGTTTCGCCTTCACCTCGATTGCAAACTTCCCCGGATTTCATTCAGATGGTTGGCTTCATCATATACAGGTTCATCTGGTTCTTCAGCATTATCCCTTGAATCTAGATAAATATCATCATCTTGGTTGAAAACTTCCATAAGCAATAGGATATGTTTATCATGTTCTTGTTCACAAAACATATAACACTATAAACTAAAGATAATAATATAGTAGACCTTTACGGCAGAACACAATATATAAATTTTGTACCTTACATATTTAGGTGTTACAATTGTATAGTGATAATTTCAATTTTAACATTTGAGGTTTATTTCACTTTAAATGTCTTAAGTCTTCCTTTATGAAAGACGAGGTGGCACAGAATCCTGCTGAAATTTTATTGTAGTGAAGAATATAAATTACAGAAAGTATACATTTCATTTTATTTTCACATATTTAGAAAATTTAGAGCACTTAACTGAATATATTTTATTTTAAAAAATTAATTACTCTCAATTAAAACACCGCCCTTTCAATTAACCATCCATGTGCAATGAACAACTTACGCTAACATGTACAGAGAAATACATATATCCAGTTTTATATTAAAATGATTACACACAATTAAAAACATTTTTATTTCAAAGATTTTTTTTAATAAATGCTAAAGTTTTATAGCCAATTTGGACATTTAGAAAATTTCATAGTTATTTAGAAAGTTAAAGTACTTTTTAAATTAAGTTTGTGCTTCAAGGCGATCCCAAGTTTTCAAAGATAATCTTTATGTCTATTAATATAAGATGCCTTGGTGTTATTAGTCTTTGGATAGTTCAACCAATGTTTATTATCCACACTTTCATTTAACGTCTCCACTTC